GAAGCGCAAGCTGGAACCAAAGCCTCGATTGAAAGGAAAAGGTTGGTGTGAGAGCGGTAAGGTCAGGAGGTGATCAGGGTCTAAACTGTTCACGCAGACATGGTCACAAAGGCTCCGGTTCGCACTTCCGCCCCTCGTTACAACCCACAAAATCTTTGTCTTGCATCCTAGCAACTCCGTGTATATTCCGGATGCATGCGTACGAGCTCATTTAGCCAGACCCAGTGGTGTTCACGGAGTTCACTGATCTCCGATAGCTGAAACTGTCGGAGAACAGAGTAGCTTGTAATTCAGTCCATCTAATGTTCAGCGGAGATCCTGCCATTACCCAGGTTTGTTGTCATTACATTGTTGTTCCTCAAATGCTGACACGCGCACTTGATGTTGTAACAATTAACAACCTCATTGTTCGTAAAAGAACATCTCTTCAGACACAGGATGCAAAGTACAGGGTACACGTCCAATGAGAGTAAACAGTAATTAGTCTGCTATGCTTTACCTGATATTTGATACGTAATGAAACACAGATACAAAGTTCCACAACGAGTCTAAATGAGTAAAAAAAAAAACAATAGATTACTCTCTGTTTCTCTGAGCAACCGATGGCCTTGCACGACTCAACTCTTTGTTTACTGTCTGTAGTTCCCAACCTGAGACTAATTACCCCTCGCTTTCCTTATGACCTCGTACAGAAGAACAGGAAGAGGGAAGAACACGGTGGTCACGTTCTTGTTCCCACCGCGCATGCAAGATCTCCAGTTGTTGACTCACCCTCAATGAGCAAGCTTATTATCGTTAACCATAGATAAAGACGTTTTGTTAAAGGGGTAGTTAGCCAAAAAAAATTTTTAAATCTGTCATTTACTCATCCTTCACTTGTGCCTATTTGAGTTTCTTTCTTCTGTTAAACACAAAGGAAGAAATACCGTAGAATTTTCGGAGGAAAAAACAAGTGATTGATAGTTTTTTGTTGTTGTTGTTGTTCCTACTTTGTTTGCTTTTTTCCCAACAAGCTTCAGAATATCTTGTTTTGTGTTAAACAGAAGACAGAAAAAACTTTAGAACGGTTTGAGTGTGAGGAAATGAAGAAGAAATAGAATTTATTTTGGTCAACTATCCCTTTAATTGCAATTTTAAGCATGAATAATGCTGAGTTAAGACTGCACAATTTTCAAAGTAGTCACGTCACAGATGCTTTCACACTTCATGACAATGTCTGGTAGCATTTTGTCGGTGCTGTGTTTACGCTGCAAGACAGATTGACGGCAAGGGGTTTCACACTGCATGACTTTATAAGAGAAAGAATCGCTGACAATTTTGTCTCGGTCCACAAACTACATCTCACAACCAAACACACGTAAGAATGACAGGGAAACAGCATGAGGTTATTATTAACTACATACAGTATGGCTCATTTCCACTGAGTGGTACAGTACAGTACGGTACGGGTCACCTTTATCAGGCTTGCATTTCCACTGCTAAAAGGGTACCAATGGAACTCTTTTGGTGGGCGTGGTGAATGACAAAAAGTTTCAGGTTAGGTAATTTTCGCTCGAGGAAAAGTCTACAGTAAAGCTCTATGGGTCATTCACATCATATGAGAAGCACTTCCCACAAAACAGATGCTTTACACACATAAATACTTCAGTATAAATGTTTTATACTAACTTTTTTATGAACATAATTTGATCATAACTGCAGATCAAAGATAGTGTGAAATAACCTTCTGTAATGTGTGCAATTATATCAAATAAATAAATAAATGCAACATATATGAACACATACAGACCCTTACAGTCTCCGATATGTTACCACTTACAGAAAAACTACACAAAGCATACATTTAGTCCTTATTTAGGTTAATAAACAACACGAAATATAGCCCACAGTAAGTGCAAACCTCTCATATGTGTCTTTAATCTTCAGCAGCACATGTAGCCTCTTGTTAGAGAATAATCACGTCATTCTAAGTTTATAATAGTCCAATAGGCGATGATAATAGTTAAACATGGCAGTTTGTTCATGTTTTAGGTTGCTGACGCATCATTTGCTGCTGTTTTTCTGGCTTCTACTTGGTTTTTTTGTGCTTCACTCTCGCGTTTGTTTTTTTCTGACAGAAGTGGACTCAAAAAGTTTGTTCTTTCAAATATAGACGTGGTCACGAGCTTTCTGGACAAACTAAAACCGCTCGCACTTTTAGATGGGCTTGTGAAACAACAACAGGGCACAGCAGATTTTGTTCTTCATAGCTTTGTGGCTGTTCATCAAGACGATGACAAGGTTTGTCTTGTCTGTGTATTTATAACATGGCGGTTCCTTTGTTTTCATTTTGGCTTGGTGTGCAAGCGAATGATGCATCTCTGTAAAGCAATAGCGTTCAGCTGCGCATCTAGCTCTGCATTTTGGTACTCTTGGTACCCTTTACAAAGGGTTCGGTTCGGTATGCCTTTGACAATAGAAGCGGCCATAAAACCGTACCACTCAGTGGAAACGGGCCAATAATGAAAAAGAAGTCTTTAGTGGAGTAGAAAATGTACTTATTTTGCTCAACTGGCTTTTGAAGGGAATTGAAAATTGATCACAAACTTTTTTCTTTTTAAACCTGGTTGTGGTATTGCTCAGATGACACGTCAAACAGGCACTTTTAACTTCAGGCATTTTTCGGTGGCTTCTCAAAAACCTGCCGGTGAGTCAACACCGGGGCTAATATCATGCTGTCAGCGTAAGAGAGATACATTCAAACAAATGTATGAAAATTGAAAGTTTTGAAAAACTTTGGTGGAAATGTTTACTCCTTGCATACGAGATGATAGTTCAGTTTTACATTCTTCGGTGCTGTGTGACATGTCATGTGACCAGGTTTTAAGTTTGGTGTGTAAACAATTGGTCTGGTCAGTACATGTTTTTTTGTGTGTGTTTGATTTTTTTTATTTAATTGTTTTTTTTTAAATATATAAACATATCCGGGGGTCTAAACAATCATTTTGGATTCTTGTTTACTTTTCTTCTACCCTATCAAAATGTACAATAATATTCCAAAATGGGGGTGGTGAGGTAGCTCACTGGTTAGCACTGTCGCCAAGCAAGAAGGTCACTGGTTTGAGTCATGGCTAGACCAGTTGGCATTTCTATGTGGAGTTTACATGTTCTCCCTGTGTTCAAGTGGGTTTCCTCCGGGTGCAATGGTTTCCCCCACAGTCCAAAGACATGCGCTACAGGTGAATTGAATAAGCTAAATTTGCTTTAGTATGTGTGTTAATGAGTGAATGGATGTTTTCCAGTATTGGGTTGTGGCTGGAAGGTCATCTGCTGTGTAAAACATATGCTGGAATAGTTGGTGGCTCAGTCTGCTGTGGTGACCTCTGATAATAAGGGACTAAACCGAAGGAAAATGAATGAATAAATGTTTTAAAATGTGTGATATTTATAAAACTGAAATTAAGTAAAAGCAATTAATTTTCCGCTGTTTTTTTTCATACAGTGAAAGCAAACAGAGTCCAAAAATGACAAACAGCACCATAACAACACCTTAAAAAGTAGTTCAATGACTCACATTTCAAACCAAACATGATTGAGAAGCATGCCAGAGGGGAGAATTTTTAGCCAGTAATGACTTCAAATTCTGGTCTGTTGCTCACACAGTGATTCTAAAGGGCTTTAAAAAGACTGATAGCGCATGACTCATATTCTGCAAATCTTATACAGTGTAGTTTTGGACCTTGACAGTCACTGGTCACCATTTGACAGAAGAAACACAAGTGATTTGGCTCAACTTGTATATGAGTACATGATGACAGATGAGTGAACTTTTCATCTGAGTATGACACTTCTCAAACTGTTGCTTCTATTTGCACACACTGCGCCTCAGGGCATGTTATAATGTCAAACCATGCCTGTTATGAGGTCACAGTGTTGTGGAGACGCATAAGCAATATCTTGGTTTATATTCAGACCTTACTGTACACTCATTTTTATCCATTTGTTTTTATCCATACCAGGGTATATACACAAATCAGAGAGTGAAATAGAACACATTTTAAGACTGTATTCATACATTTTAAAACTCATCGCCCCTTTAGGTTTCACTCGTTAACATTGGCGACATTTTAACTTACAGTATATTTACTAAATACTGATTGTACTTTCATTGATTTAAGCCAACGCAATTATTAGAAGAAACTTCTAAAGGCTTTTTCAAAGGATCTTTTCTGTTTTTCATATGAGGGCAAAAAAAAAAAGTTTCAAAAAAGCGGAGTAAGGGTATACTGTTTCTGAACCGTTTGAAATCCCCACCATTACAGAACAGGTTTTAAATGTGTCATGCAATGGGTTATATGCACAACCAGTGCTTTTTAGCCAGCAATAAACTTCTGCTGAAGGGTTAAAGAGACTACTTTCAATTTCATAATGTTTCTATACAGCATCAATGTTGTAATGTAATTAAAATACATTCAGTTGAATAGACTTAAGCATTCGTTAGTTCAAGCGTAAAATGAGATGAAAGACAGTGTAAATGCTAGCACCATCAGTAGCAGCATGCTAGTGCAAAAACGCTATTGAAAATACTGGAGTAAAATAATTCTGGCAGGGAAAAATGTAATTTAATGCAGTGCTTCCTTTCTGGTCTGAGACCCCCTTTATATCGTATATCAATCAGGCAGTGAAGATCACTCATTTTTAAAGAAATCAGATCTTAAACATGCTGATTTTGTAATGGTTCAACAGAATAATTTGGGCTGGCTGACTGAAAATTAAAAGTCACTGTGCATGTATCCCAATGTGTAATCATCACTGACCAATAGCAGCTCAAAAATGGACCACAACAAACTCACCAAAAAGTTTGTTTTGGTGAGCTGTTTGAACTTGTAACAAATTTTAAATATACTCAAAAAGATCTTAGTTTTGGTCAGATTTTGTTCAAAATGACGTGATATCATTCCTCAATTTTGTTTGAGGTATATTGGTGGCTTAAATAAGTACCAATACAGCAGATGACTTACTCTTCTTGCCAGACCCAGGGCGATATAGCACTTCTCTCCGGGATCCACAATCTCCACTTCAAAATAGTGACTTCTGGTGGTGAGGGGCTGCCGGGCCTGAGCAAGACCCACGTCCATCAAGCTCTTCCCTTTCCCAACATATTCCAGAAGCTGTGGCAAAGACATCATAGACTTAATCAGAATTCAATTAAATCAATTAAATTATCAGATGACTTTAAACAAATTTCACACTTTGTAGGAAGCCTTTGACATGCAGAAAATTTCATCAACCGAACTCCAGTTTGGAGCACACTAGGACTTTGCAATATATCGTTTCAGTATCAATATTGCAGTGTGATCATTATCAATAGTCACATCACAAGAAATGCAATGTGTTGTGACTTTATTATACTGTATCATTTGCGTGTTTATAAGGCCTGTGACCGTATGAGGATTTTAAAAGCATTCAAGCATAAGACATTGTGTTATTAGTAACTTTAATAAAAATACATTTTATTGAACTATTTTAATATTTGTTATTAAGTTACTGTACCTAAATACTGTAAGAAAATGACACAACACTGTTATAAGAGTTCACACTAAGATATTAGCTTGATAATAATTGAAGGTTTGACATGCTGTCCCAGGAGAGAATCCTGAGCTCAGAGATAACTGAGCACGAGCTCCCGCATAGTCATTTAGCATGAAAAAGGGGTCTGAAATCAGGTAGGTCTAGAAAGCTCCCCTGGTAAAGAAGGAAAAAGAGAAAATGGGGCGATTCTTCCAAAGTGAAGATAAGGGAAATAAGGTGAAAAGGGCTATTTATTGTAGGTTTGGATTAATCTAATGGGTTAACTGATGATTGCAGATAAGAGACCAGCCACAATGAATCATATCATGTGCTCCTCTCAAAATTGGTTTCTAAAACTTCCTTCCTTCATTCATTCATTCATTCATTTTCTTGTCGGCTTAGACCCTTTATTAATCTGGGGTCGCCACAGCGGAATGAACCGCCAACTTATCCAGCAAGTTTTTACGCAGCGGATGCCCTTCCAGCCGCAACCCATCTCTGGGAAATATCCACACACACATTCACACACACATACTCATACACTACGGACAATTTAGCCTACCCAATTCACCTGTACCGCATGTCTTTGGACTGTGGGGGAAACCGGAGCACCCGGAGTAAACCCACACGAAGGCAGGGAGAACATGCAAACTCCACACAGAAAACGCCAACTGAGCCGAGGTTCGAACCAGCGACCCAGCAACCTTCTTGCTGTGAGGCGACAGCACTACCTACTGCGCCACTGCCTCGCCTTATAAAACTTCACTTATTTTAAATGTAACTTTTACTGTATGTATTTATGTAATTTGTGAATTAGATTTTATGCATATGCACATTCCTAAACAACCATTCCAATCAGTCCAAAACTATCAATTCTTTGCAAATAGAGATATTCAAGTCAACCGGTGAAATTGTATTGATATCGTCATATATCGCACAGACGAAAAAAAACATTGCAATGTTAGATTTTTTAAATTATGTGTAGTCCTAGACCACCCCGTCAAACTTATGCCGAGCTGAGACTGCATGATTTTAGTCTTGATTTTGACTTGCCCACAGGTTTTGAAAAATCATAGACAAATGACTGAAATCACAGGCAAATCGGTGCTCGTTCACTTTACTAACAATCACATAGTGTGAACTGTCAAAGATACAATCTGAGAGAATCGCTGATGATTCGCTGACAACCCATGAGAAATATCTAGACCTGTCTGAGATTCAAATCATCCCATGTGAAATCTGCAGGCCAGCAGGAGATTGGAGGAGAAGCTAAAAGTGTTTCTTTTCAGTCAAGAAATGGAGGAAAAACTAGTGTAAATTTGGCAGGAGCACTCGTGTTGGTTTGACGTTTTATCTGAGCAATATCACAACCAGGTAAGACAAAAAAAAACTATAGGTGAATTGGATAGGCTAAATTGGCTTTAGTATGTGTGTTAATGAGTGAATGGATGTTTTCCAGTATTGGGTTGTGGCTTGAAGGTCATCTGCTGTGTAAAACATATGCTGGAATAGTTGGTGGTTCAGTCTGCTGTGGCGACCTCTGATAATAAGGGACTAAACCGAAGGAAAATGAATGAATAAATGTTTTAAAATGTGTGATATTTATAAAACTGAAATTAAGTAAACGCAATGAATTTCCTGCAGTTTTTTTCATACAATAAAAGCAAATAGAGTCCAAAAATGACAAACAGGACCATAACAACACCTTAAAAAGTAGTTCAATGACTCACATTTCAAACCAAACATGATTGAGAAGCATGCCAGAGGGGAGGATTTTTAGCCAGTAATGACTTCAAATTCTGGTCTGTTGCTCACACAGTGATTCTAAAGGGCTTTAAAAAGACTGATAGCGCATGACTCATATTCTGCAAATCTTTTACAGTGTAGTTTTGGACCTTGACAGTCACTGGTCACCCGTTCACTCGTGTTGGTTTGACATGTCATCTAAGCAATATCACAACCAGGTAGGAAAAAAAAAAGTTGAGAAATTGCTAATTCCCTTCAGACCCAGGTGAGCAAAATAAGAACATTTTCAACTCCATTAAAGACTTTTTTCTCATATTTAATTAATAACAAAAGATATACTACCAGACCTTACGTTGTTTTCATGTCATTTCTTGCGTGTGTTTGGTTGTGAGACGTAGTTTGTGGACGAAGACAAAGTTGTCAGTGATTCTTCCTCTAAAGTCACGCAGTATGAAACCCTGCCACCGATCCACCGAAGCAACAGCAAAATACTACCCCAGATAGTCATACAGTGTGAAAACATCTGTGACACGGCTATTTTGAAAACCATGCAGTCTGAACTCTGCATTAATGTAAAAGCACCTAGAGGGATATTGTCATAAATCAGACATACCTACAAACTAGTCTTCCTGGCAGTGAGCAGGGATATTGGATATGCTGTGCTGCAAACATGCCTGGCTAAAACTCAGCTTTTCAAGCAAAGGAAGATCAGGGTTTATGGCAAGCTATCATGTTTACACGCATGTTTAAATACCTTTGAAAACGCTGTTTAACAAAATGATTTAGCAACGAAACTAAAGGGGCTCCATGTAAGATATCTAACGTACAGATCTTTTTTCATTTGCCAATGTGCAAACAGCTTTAAATAACAACAAATAACAAAACAGGACCTTCCACAAGCTCCCAGATTGTCTATTATTTGCATTAAAGAATCCTAAAAGAATCCTTAAGATGCAAAAATATATAACATTTTATTTTGATGGTCTATTTGAATATTAGTAGACTGCTTAATATCTGTTGATACTGCTCCTCCAACAGACATTTAACTGACTATAAGAAACTTTGCAAGTACATGTCAACTTACACTTACCCTAACCCCAGCCTAACAGTCTACTTACAATCTAATGAGAATTAGTTGGCATCTAGATGCAATGTAACTTATAGTAAATTGGACCATCAAAAATGTGACCAAAATATTATCAATATATAATACATGTTTTTTTAAGTTGGGCTCACTGGGCTGCACGGTTTTTAATAATCCTAAATGCTTGTAGCTTGTCAGACTGCATGACTTTCATGCTAATTCTGAAAAAACATGCCTCAATAATTAAATGAATAATCTTTTTTTTTTTTACTTCACAGAGCGTAGTACTTTATTCAAACAGTAGTGTGTTTTTTAAAGAAGTGACAAGCTTTACAGTAAAGACTACAGTTTACAACGACTTCCCAGTTTTGCAGTTTTTTTATTTATTTATTTTTTTATTTATGACTTTTATGGCAAATTACATAAAAAAAGACAAAACAAAATTATATTTCAAAAAGAATAGATAGTATTAATTTAAGAACATACAGTGAGAAAGAAAATAAATAAATAAATAAAATAAAAAACATACCAACAAATAAAAAGGTAAATAATAATGTGGCTTGGCAAAAACTACAATTGTACGATCACACAATACACTCTACTTTGCACTTAGGAAGGAAAAAGAATCAATTTGCTGGAACAAGGACTTGGTCTGTATTTGAAAATAAAACATGTTCTTGAATATATTTCTTAAATGGGTCCCAATTTTTCTTAAACTGGTTAGATTAGCCTCTAGACCAGGGGTGTCCAAACTCGATCCTGGATCGATCCTGCTGAGTTTAGCTCCAGCTTGCTTCAACACACCTGCCAGGAAGTTTCTCGTATATCTGGCAAGCTTGATTAGTTGGTTCATGTGTGTTTGATTAGGGTTGGAACTAAACTCTCCAGGACACCGGCTCTCCAGGACCGAGTTTGGACACCCCTGCTCTAGACAATCAAATTTTTTTCAACTTTACGAAGACATCACAGATCCACTGTTGGTTAAATGAATAATCTTTAATGAATCAATTCATTCAATAATAGAATTTCTTTGACATTTTTCCCGCATTGGTTTGAAATTGTTGCTCTGACTGCATGATCAGTCTCGGTGCTCCTATCGGTTCTTGGTTTGACAGGATCATGGCTTGTAAGATCAAGTCACACAGCAGGAAACAGTCTGAAATCTTTGGAAACTGCCAGAACTTCATCAAACAGAAAATGTAATCGCAACAACCATTAAGTGGCAGTCAGATTTTCCCAAATTTGCCACAGATGACCAAAATTGTGGCTGAAATTGCAGCATGAGCAGGGCTTTAAACAGGAAATTGTGCATGTAATCATGATTTTTATGTATTTTCAATCAAATAAATGTACAACTTTTAAACAGCAAATGTATGCATTCATCAGGAAAACCACTGAATGATGACTTCGAGCTCGAGGCAGTTAGGAGAAGAATATTTAGATGAACAATTGACATGAAATCAGATCAAGTATGGGCAAACTCGAACGCACAGAAATAATGACACATCTTTTCAATGACTTTTTCCATCAGGTGTGGAAGCAGTCAAAGATGTTGTATGATTATCAGTGACAGTTGACCTGTCTACAGTAAGTTCATGGAGTAGCAAGGGTTGGGCTTGGTCTTTCAGCTACAGACATGTGGGTGATATTGACAGCCCCACCTAGCCTTACAAATGAAAGAAGAACTCACCAATGGAACCATTTTGACATGCCGAGAGGTCAAATTTCTGTCAAACATGTCTTAAGTTTCATTCAACAGTAGCAGAAATC